ATTTTCTTAAGACTAATATCTACATAATGTTAAAAAGACTAATTAGATCCGTTCTTATAAAGGGGGGAAAAGCAAAGAACCCAATCAATTCTAAATCTACAATTAATGTCCTACTCACTTGATTTTTTTTTCTTTTCAGAATGCTCATACATCTGTCTCTGCTACAATAAAAAAAAGTGCATGTTGGGGTAGATTACAATATTGTCTGAAAGAAGTCAAAGTCAAATAAATAAAAATAAAAGAGGTATCCATAAATATATATGCAGTTGTACTTAAAATCAAGTGACACAAAACACCTTTGACCTCCCATTTCAGTTCATCATGTGGTATACTTTTGTAAGCTTCGTTATTATTTTCATGTCATTCTTATTTTTGTACAATCCTGCCATCTATCTTTGTTTCAGCTGAATGACCTTTGTTCTTAACTGTTTTTCCTTAGAATTTGAATATGAGAATGAAGAATATACCACAAGTTACAGTTACATAATTGATCTCGGTTAGTGTTTTAACTTTATACACAACGCAAACGGAAGGGTATGTAGTTATGTAATTGCTGGAGCCAATCTTGTCAGATCAACTTTGTTCTGCTTTACTCAAATTTATAGCACTAAGAAAAAAAGCTGACAATTTATTTATCTGTGATTTTCAAAATAAACTCGAATAGATTTTGTTTCAATTGTCATACGTGAAGAAAATTTTCACTAGAAGTATACACAGGCAGATTATTTTTTACAAAAAAAATGTCTTTTAAAATCTATTTCTCCTATTGCTTAGAAACAAAGCTTACATCTCCATCCTTTCTCCCTATTCCTTAAAATCTATTTTCCCCGTTGTTGGGTGAAGAGACCGATCGAGCTACTGTTATCATAACCATACACATAGCCTCCTCCCACCAGTTCACCATTGACAACCTCAGTCATCTTCCCGCTCTTCAAGTCCAACGACAGAAACCTCTCGCATACTTCACGACGCATCCCATATACTCGGCCATCGCTCCTGCCCACTACGTATGTTTCTGTCAAGAACAACTTCTCCCGTCCTCCAAAAGGCAGCAGGGTCACACATCTATATAGAAAAAAATGTGGTTTCGCCCTCATAGAGTTTGAATAAGGAGAGAGGATATCGAGGTAACCGCACTTTGACTTTCCAGAGGACAATCGACAGTTTAAGTACCAATTGCCACCATTGTTGTTGACATCGACCAACACCCATATCTGCATAGTATATGGTCCTAGACTCACACAAGACAAACAGTCTTCCAATATCCTAATCGCCAAGTGAGGTTGACTGGTTGGTCTTGGTGGGAGGTAAATATAGCCTGCATTATCAATGCCACAGTCGAACTATAACAGGTAGTTTGTCGACCTTCAATACACAACCCCTTTTACAGAAACTGATCTGGGGCACACCAATTCAGGAAAATGGGCAGTCGCTTCCTTGTCTGATTTTACCCACTTTTTGTCGGAAGATGAGAATACTTCAATCTGAAATTTCTTTTGCAGAAGATCCTCTGTAATACCTTCAGTGAGATAGACTAGCTTTTACTGATCAGAAGAGGTCAATGTTTCAAATACTAGGCTAATAACAAGCGACATGTTTTTGCTATACGGGATTCTGTAGCCTTGTCTCGTCACCGAATTGCATACATGCAAGCACTCCTCAAGGCGAAGACAGAGAAGACCGTTGGTAGAGGCGCAGATGTCAAGAACAGGAACAGATATTGTAACACCCTTATTTTAGTCACATATGGACTAGTGTGAAGAAATGTTAGTGGCTTAAATAGAGAAGCTCAATGTCCAAGAATAACTAGTGCTAGCATTTTGGTAGTGGGTTTTAGCCAACATCGAGTTGCTCTTGGTGAGTCTCACGGCTTGTGCCCGCCAACAGGCCCGTAGGCCTGAGGCGTGACAAATGGTATCAGAGCAGTTGCCAACTGGAAGTGTGAAGCGAAGTGCTATATGGGGCTAAGTGCTAATCGCGTGAATGCGGTGGGAGCCACCTCTAGAGCCCGTAAAGCCAACTCTAGAGTCCACATCACCTGGAAGTGACACTAAAAAGTGTCAATTGTCAATTCGTGACGACGAGGATGTCGTCTTTGTAAGGTGGGATGATTGTAACACCCTCACTTTAGTCCCACATGGACTAGTGCGAAGATATATTAGTGATTTAAATAGAGAAGCTCAAGGCCTAAGAATAACTAGTGCTAGCATTTTGGTAGTGGTTTTAACCAACATCAAGTTGCTCTCGGTAGGTCCCATGGCTTGCCCCCACCAACAGGCCCGTGGGCTCGAGGCGCGACATATACACAATCAAGAAAAGGGTTGAGAATGTGAATTGTGTAGTGGAGCGTGCTCAATAATGCTACGCGCTGGTCCTTAACGAAGAACCACCCTGATGCCAAGGATCTGTGGCGCAACAGTTGAGAGATTTCGCGGTGCCACTTCTTGGATACTGACTTGAACTGGCCGAAAGATTTGGAGGGAAGACATGGAAGGATGTTTTTTTATTATGACGTCGTCAGGGATGTAGGCTTACACTAGTTATTTATTGCAGGGATTAACTCAGACTTTTATTACAAAATCAAATCCCCACTTCAATTAGAACTCCTTGAACGTTAAAACTTATATTTCCCTTATGAAAAGCTTCTGCTCAACTTTGGATTACCATTGTTTTGTTGTTGCATGTTTTAACTTGGATGGGCCCATATCAATTAGTCTTCTCATGTCATCTATCATCAACCTACACGAGAAAATAATTTAAATAAAAAATGATATATAAAGGCATCAAGAGCGAATTTTGAATTTTAGTACATGTGAATTGCACCAAAGGCATTTTTTGTATGTGAGCATTATTTAAGATATGTATGCTATTATTCATTATTTTTCATTCAGTTTTTATTTTAGTAGTTTCCAGTGTTTTTCAAACAACCCTGTAACGAGACATACAGAGATACCCCTCCCAACTTTCTTGATATCTAAGAACTGTAGGTCCCAATGGTAAAGCCTCTTTATAATGTACAAGAATTCTCGGTTCATAACCCCACATGCATTATCTACAATAATTCTCGAGAAAATCAATTATCTTCAAAACTTATGAAGTATCTACTCTAGTTAGATTCGATAGTGGTTATAATTTAGCCTTTTCAAATCCTAGTTTAGTGATTTCATATATTATAGTTTCAACCTTATGAGCATTTTTCTTTCTTGGAAATTTTCTTAGCAAACAAAGAAATTACTATGAGCATTTATGTAAATTACTACAATTGACCAAGAGTCCCAAAATAGAGAGAATAAGTTTCCAAACAAAGTAGAATTTTCTCAAAATCTAATCACCAATTTACAAATCCTTACTTTCTCCATCTAGAACAGAAGTTTGATAAAGATACTAGAAAGAAGTCCACATGCACATTCATACTTAGACATCGTCTCACCATTGATACAATCAGAGCCTAGGTCATAATGCATATCATGCAAAAGCATATTTTGACAATTAATCACCATATACTACCAGATGTTAGCCATATTGCATATCATGCAGAATCATGAAATAGCCAACTATTGATTAAAAAATAGAAAAGGAGATGATACTATTAAAGTAAGTACCAACACTACACCAAGCTCATCTCTTTCTGAATTATATTAGAAAGTCTATAATTTGAATTATCAACCATGTAATTTACATTCAATAACATTTGACCGACCCACAGGATACTAGCTCAAGACCAAGGTAGTGAAATTAAATTACAAGCCAATCAGTGATGAGAATGACAGTAGCACAAAAGGATTTAATATGAAATATTCAGAAGTAAAACATTTTTATGTAAGTCCATACTCATGCCTATCATGAAGAACCCTTTCTCTTAGGTCGCGGTGGCTTCTTGAGTTGTAGAAGATGAGAAAGGCCAGCTACGACATGCATTCTGCTCGTCGGGATCCCTGTTTTTGCAAGAGCTCTTCCATGTTTATCCAACAGAACGAAGCAAGGAACATACTTAATGTCATAATGTAGGAGCTGCATAGATAAAACAAGATTATAAGTTAACACATTTCAGACATAATTAGTTGTCATGAGTTTGTATAAATGCTAAAAAAGCATGAAAATTTTTCTTTAGAAATTTCATTATAATTAGACTATCAGCTAGCAGGATGCTAAAAATAGTAGTGCAGAAGTGTTTTTGACATGTACTCTTGAAGTATCTAAAATAACATCAGGTGTCCCCTCAGATGTCGAATGGATAAGCTGAGTGATTCAGAAAGCAAAAATATTTAATCTAAGACCGTTGACCAGACAAAGAGATCAATATGCACTAGTTATGAAACTTAGCGAATGAGAAAGTACTTTAGGACCCAAAACAACAGGACCACTACAGAACATGTGTTGTGTCGCTTATTAACCACTAATGTCAAACGGAATCCCAAGAATACGACACATGGAACCTTGTTCCATAATTGGTTAACAATCACACACCAATGTCATCATAATTGCAATGTCAAGGAATCTTGCAACAAATTTGTCAAATATAATGAATTGCTATGTGCAATAGCAATTAACTATCTCTAGTTGAGGCCATAAATCTGACACCACAAATTAAGCATGCAGAGCAAAACAATGTTTTAAGAGTTTAGAGAGATGACCCTTCCCTACTCCATGAATCCAATTAGAAGGTTAAAAGAAACTCATATTAAAGAAACATTTATTCTCCATGAGTCAGAAGGTTCAAATATCACACTGTACTTGTT